CTTGAGCCTAATATCTATTCCATTACCTGTGTTCTACCTCCATAGAATATAACCCGACCATTTTTCATTAGCAAAAGCAGTTAGTAAGTGCACTGTCTCCAAAATTGTGAAGGAAGAGGTGAAGGAGAAGAATCTGAGAGAGGCCGTGCACAGCACATAGCTGAAGAACCAGGGGCTGCTCTATGGTGTCTCTGAGTCCTCCTCACCACAAACAGCTGGCTTAGTTTTAGAACTGTGGATTTTTCTTTTCTTGCTAGCCAGCATGCAGGAAGCAGAAGAAATCTTGGTTCAAATATTTAACAGGGAAACCAGAGTGGAAGAAGTGCCACTGATTTTGTCTCTCTTGGGTTTTGAAATCAACGAAGTATGAGCTTTTCCTATTTACTTTTGGAATCTGAAATGATTTTGGGATACAGCTAAAAAAATAATTGACAAGTTTGGGAGCCGACTCCTCTTCTAGAGCTCTGTGAGGCATCTATGAGAATCATCAGAATGTGCTGGTGTGCTTGCAGGCCTCTGTGATTATATCAGCTCCTGTCATCTGTCATGCCCAGCTTCATCTGATGTGAGGTTTCTTGTTCCTTGGTGAGAGTGTGAAGACAAGCAGGTCCAAACCACTTCAATAATCAGAGCCTTGTGTATTTCTTCTCTATCTGAGAAAAGGGGTGTATTTCCAGCAGTATGGGTGCTGGTTGCTCATTATTAGTCACTGCAGTTGGAAGGGGCCTCTGGATTTGCTTGTGCTTGTTAGGCATGGTCTCTGATGTTGTAAGCAAGAACATTGGTCCTTCTTGGAAAAGTCTTATGCTATTGAAAACCCTCCAAAATATAAACACTAGTTTATAATAGGATTGGTATTGTGCTATTTCTGTAAGATGCCTACAAAGAAGGAAAGTCTCAGAGCTGTTCAATCTCTGAACACCAGCCCCAGTTAGCAGTTAAAATGCTGGAGAAAAACCCTGTTGAGTGAATGCCTTTTTACTGCCTGGGTTGTACTATCTTGCTAGATCTGGTTCGAGAGTGTTCTTCCTGAGCAGGTACATTCTACTGCAGATATCCACTCACTGACACTAACACGGAGAATTTTAGAATCAACATGTGTCCTGGATTCCACCATAATCAAAGCCCAGCTTTGAGGTCTACCCTTACTCTCCTTACTTGTCATCAAATTTATCAGCAGTAAAGATGCTCTGGACACACAGTGATTAGCTACTATATGTACTTTTTTCCTTTTTTTTTAATTTATTTTTGACTTTGTTGTTGTTGTACACAATGTCTGAAGGATTAGGTTTGTATCTCGGCACAGGCTGAGATACATTTGTAGTATCAGTAGCCTACAGTTGGGCTTGTCCCTGTGCTGTACTCAGATGCTGTTGTAAAGACAGTCATACAGAAGTACTCATCCTAAGATGGACTTAGAACTTCCCAGAAGGTTTAGTTTGGGGTCAGTTCTAAGTACTGATGGGAAGATCTTATCAATTCCTACGTGTTAAAGTCACGTCTGCAAATCAGAGATCAAATTTGTTTCACTCCTTCCTGTCCAGCACACAAATGCTAAACAAAGAACAAGCAATGTTTCATCCTTTTCTTGTGCACCTGTTGCAGACAGTGATTCGCTAAGTCCTGTGTAGAAACTGCCCTCTGCTCATGGGAAGTACTATGAAGGCCCATGGGCTGTCACAGATATCCCATGGCTTGTCTGATGGGATCTTGTTTGCTGGTAAGGATGTGTTCATGAAGCCCAGCTTGGCTTTCAGAGCTCCAGTCATGTTTGCAAAGTAGGCTTTTTTTGTGAAGAGAAAATAAAGCACAAAGCTTCACGTTAAGCATTTCCTCTGTAATCACAGCCTTGGAGCTGCCTCTAATGTAGTGATTCCTTTCCTCTTTTCCCCTAGAAAGTATTTTTTTCTCAGATCTGGAACTTCATTTCAAGGCTCCGGAGATGCATCATACCAATAAATGTCATAATGTGACATTATTCCATTGCTTCTGACATTAACCTGAGCAGGCACCTGATGAAAGCTGATGAAGTAGGAAAAGCAAAGCTATGAAAAAATAACATGACACAACCCAGATGCACCACGATCAAATCTCAGATGAGAAAAGGGAGCTGTGCTAGGTCCTTGGATATAAACTGTGGGTCAGGAGCAGTCGGTGGAACAGCACGAGTAGATGTAGATTATTTTGTGTCTGTCCTTGGCTCAGTAGACCACTAGCTGAAAGATCAGAGGAGAGCAGCAAGATGGTGGGAGCCATTTCCCTGCATTTGCTCAGCTAGGAATTTTCCGAGAAGCCTGCACTTGTGATTTCTGCTGTAAAATAGTAAAAATATGGCCCTATCAGTCTAAATTTTGGATAGAAACTGTGTGGAATCCTTACCTGTGCATGTTAAGTGCATACTTAGAGAGTGAAGGAGTAGACATAGATCCTTTCTGATTCAATTAACGTGCTCCCAGAGTTTCTTCCACAATGTATATGACACTGGCAGATTTTTTGGGTTGTACTGCTCCCTGGCAGAGCAAGTTGATGCCTGCTCCACAGGTTGCCTGTACCAGCTGTGCTGCTTTCAGGTGTGCTCCACAGGCAGTGTCTCTGTTACCAGCATGGCTGTCAGCAGAAGACTGAAGCCATAGGATGTTGGAACTCTACCCTTAGGTAAGCAAGGCAAAGAAAAGAGAATGAAGTCTATTTTTCTTGTTCTGACCCAAATCTCAAGAGCTCGAGAGGCCTTTTTGATTGACAGGAGATCTTGCCTCTCAGGTTTCAGATGATCTTGGAGGAGTCTGGAGGGGAACAGTTTTTGCTTTACATGTTTACATATACTTTATAATTATGTGAGTATTTGGTAGTCTTTTGGTAGTTTTGGTTTAGGTTAGGTAACACTCAAAACATCACGTGATTTTGGTATTCATTAAAACTGAGATCCAGGTTTGCTTAGTAGGTCAGTAGCAAGCAGTCTGGTAGTTTGAAATTTCTTTGATTTGCTAAAGGTAACATGAACAAGAGAGATTTATCATTATTAGTGTTAACAAATGAAGCGTTTGTATGCTTTCACTCCTAGTTAGTACTTTGCAAACATACCTCCAATACCAAGGAGACAAAAACTTTCACATTTCCTGTTGTTATGAACATTTTCTACCTGAACTGAGCAACACAAGACCAGGTCCATATGGAACAAGAGGAAAGAGGGAGATGCCCAAGAGTGTCTCTTAAATGCGTTAGGTGTGATTTTATGTATTGGGCTGAGGAACTGATGTGAAATGAAATGGCTGCATCCAATAGAGTTCTGTCTGTCTGAAGTTCCTGTCAGCTGCCATCCTGTGCACTGCATGAGGGTGTGCACCCACTAATGTGCCATTTGTACCCCCCCCCCCCTCCTCTTTGATGCCTCTTGCACTTGCTTGGGGTCACCTGATGATGAGTCCTGTGTCAGAGAGTTCCCCCCATGCCAGCAGGGCCACCTCACTAAGCGTTGGAGAGCACTGAGAGACTGATGCTCTTAGGCTGGCATCCCCAGCTTGGGCATGTTGGCCTGGCTAAAGCTAAGCTTGTTCTCTGACTGGTGTGTCCCCATGTCCCCCACCTGGCCTGTCTTTTTTGGGTTTTTGGGAGACAAAAGGAGAAGCAGGTGGGGCTTATGGTGATGCAGAGCTGAGGCTGGACCCTGTGGGCTGTTCTCTGCTGCTGCCTCATGCTCATTCACCACACCTGGCAGTGATTGAGTCCTCCTCCAGCTGCTCCCCTGCTTCTAATTAACAACAGCAGGTTCCAGACCATAACTAACTGCTCCTGCAGGTTTCTGGACCCTTCCATCCTATTGTGGTGGGGTCAGGGCTCAATCACCAGGATGGAGCAGCTGGTGTTCAGGGACGCTGTGACCTGCTGGCTCGTCTCTGAGGGATGGAATCGCCCATCCCTGGTATGCAGCTGTGCTAGGAAACGTTGCCTTACAGCACCTTTTGTGGTTCATTACATTAGTGAAAAGTCACAGCAGCATGTATAACGGCTGGAAACTTGTGTCTGTGGTAGCAACAGGCAAAAATAGAGAGGATGGCAACAGAAGACAAACCTGTGTGCAGAGGTCACTGTGTGTGTTGTGCGAGACAGAGCTGCAGTCCTGCTCCATGGTCATGGAAACCAGCCCCTGGCCATCTCCTGCCCAAGTCAAATAGCAACTTTGGAGGCAATGTGTATTTTTGCCTTGGGATGACTTGCTGTCTCACAAGTTGCTATTTGACTTTGGTTGAAAAAAATGATCGGGTACTTTCTGCAAGCACAAACCAAAGCTTGTGGCTTCGGGTAGTTACCAGGACTGAGGCTGCCTGTGTAATTACATTGCCTATATTTAATCTGTGGCAGATCCCTTAAATTTCAGATGTGCAATCAATAGCTTTTGCTGTGAGGCTTTGCCACTGTGTGCATCCCCTCCCCTGCTTGAGATGCACAAAGTCAAGTCAGTACACTTGGAGGGTGAGTGCACGTTCCCATCCATCCATAAACCACAGAGAGCATAAAGGTCTGTGTGCGTGCATTACATGCAAGACAGCTGCTCTGCCCCTGTTTTGTGGAGGGTTTGCTCTGATTTCATTGTGGCTCCCTTCAAACAATCCGAAAATCACCCCTCCACCCCCCAGGTTCAGGAGCATAAATATGCACGGCTTGTAATTCTGTTGCAGCTCTCGCTCCCAGCTGATAGGGTGACGTGGAGTTCGGAGGCTCGCAGATTGGCTTTTTGATTTGGCTTCTTGCTGCAGTTGTGCAAACCCCGGCGTCTCGCGGCAATCGGGCTGAGCGCCGCTCTGCTGCGCGGTGCGGAGAGCCTGGACGCGCTGGGGAAGCCCGGCACGTTCATTGCCATCTGGGGTACAGCCCATTTTCTTCCCTCCCTCGTCGACCCCCGTCCATCTCCATCCTCCTCCCCCTTCCCTCGCCGTGCCTGAAGCTGAAGACCGAGGCTGGTGGATTTACCGACGTTTCCCGTCCCCCCACCCCTTTTCCAGATGCACCTCCCCGCTCACCCTGACAGCTGCACAAGAGAGCCCAGGTTCTGTAGCGAGCACGGCAACTTGGACTGACATGCGGAGGAGCAGCCCCGCACACACGCACGGCGGTGGTACCCACGAGATGCAGTGAGCTCCGTTAGGAACCGGAAGGATTTATCCCAGTGGAGCCCCCCCACCTCCCAAAAACTCAGGAAAGCCGCCAGCAGGGGTAAGTAAGCGATGCTCCCCGGGGAAGGGAGGCTGGCGGCCGAGCGCCCTGCCGCCGAGGGGTCCGTGCGGACGCCGGGGTGGGGGCTCGGGGACCCTCTGCGGGCTCCGGCCGAGGGGGGAGCGGCGGCGCCGTGTGTACGGGGTGCGGGAGCGCCGTGCCCGCGGCAGCCGCTGCAGCCTTCGTGCCGGGGGGGCCGGGGAGCGGCGGGGCACGGCGGGAGCCTCGGCCGGGATCCTTCCCGGGGGTGTCGCGGCACGGCCCGCAGGGATGCCGGCAGCCGGGTGGGGGGGCTCTGCCTGGAGCTGCGCCTCTCATGCAGTGCTATAAATTTATTTCCTTTGGATTTTTTTGTACTCGTTTTCATTCCCCCCCCCCTCCCCCCCCCCTTCTTTATTGTTGTTGTTATTATTATTTCTGCCGGGGTGGGGTACTGGGCCATCCTTGCCGCACACCGGGAGCACCAGGGCTGCCGTCCCGGGCAGCTGTCGCGCTCTGTCCGCCGGTGCCGCTTGTTTACCCCCGGTGTCAAATATAGCTGCTGCGCCAGGCGCTGCCCTAAATAGGGCACGGGGCCGCCTGCGGGGCTCCCGCAGCCCCCGGCTCGCACATGCACGCAAACTGGCCTGGATGGTGGGTGATTTCTTGCTCTTTCTCCTGCCCAGCCTCTCTTTAAGCTTTATTGTTCTTACCTGTGTCTGAAGTATTGCCCTAAGTGGGAAATGAAACCATTGCAAGTGGTTTTGGTTTTAATTATATTACAATGTTAGAATATAGCCATTTTCCTCCTCTCTCAAGTGGAAATGTAGAGAAGTAGTTGGTTTTCTTGGCTTCTTCGTGCATTCTTGAGCTCATCTGGGGGATTTCACCTGAGAAATATACTTCAAATCCAGGGGGAGACACTGGAAAAATGTGTGTGCCCTATATGCATCCGCCTCTCTATATGCATGTATGCATATTAATTTCTCACGTTACTTCATATAGCAAAAGGGTGATTTTTACTTGAGTTGTTGCCTATCTCTGGAGAAAACAGAGCTGGAGGATGGAAATCCCAGCTGGCAGCCCCATCCTGCCCACAGTGCTCACCCGCTCTCCCTGGTAGCGTGGCAGAAGCTGCTGGGACACATGAGCCTTGAAAGTACTCTGCTTTAGTGCAGCAGGGAGAGCCATTGCTCCCACATGGGCAGACATTCCTAGGGAGTCCCTGGTGCTGCTCCATCCACTGCTGTTGCAAGCAGCTGTGTGCCCTGATGGTGGTTTAGCTAGGAAAGTGATTTGCATTTGGTGCTTCTGTGGTCAGCTGGAACGAGACTTGTTTCCTGAGCGGGAGTAGTGATACTGTAAAGAAGCACGTCCTGCTGTTGCCAAGGGCTGACTGGGGCAGAGCAGAGGAATGTGGGGGTCCTTGGTTCTGCTGCTGGTGCTCAGTGTGATGGCGGCCACCTGAGCCATCCTCCTGCTGTGAACAGAGGGGTGCAATGCCAGCTGGGGTGGGGGCAGAAGGAATGGACATGCATAGCCCTAGGTTATAGGTGCAGTTGAGCTGCCTGTTTTTTTCCCCAAGCCAAGTACTACTTCTATTTTGATAAACCAGTGGTTCAAGAATGTGGAAGGTATGATATTGTGATATTCCCGCTGCGAAGTCCTGTGTGGGCATAGTAGAAGTCCAGGTGAGCTCCCAGCCTCTGTGACAAGACTCTGGCATGCTGCTGGGCATAGGGTGTCCTGTCCCGCCCCATTTCCCCCACCCCTTTCCCCAGAGCTTGTTTGTACAAAGTAGCTAATGGTATTTTCCAGCCTATATTGGTGAGGAAGAGTTTGTTACAGCTAGCAGATGACAGAATGTGAAAGGGGAGGCAGATGTGGAGCCATCTCACAGCACACGTCCCTTGCAGAGAAGTTGCTCCTATCTCAGTAAACCACTGCCAGAGCGGCCAGCTGTGGGATTCCAGCAGGGATTCCAGGTGTGGTAGCCAGATGGGGACAGTCCTTCTCATCATCAGATCAGTGCAGGAGTAGCTCTGTACTCTGTATAGGGCTGCAGAGGGCATTGCTGAAGCCTGTGCTGACCTAATGCTGCATTACACCTGACCCAACGCTTCCCTTGGTCTCAAAGGGTTCCTTCTGCTATAGTATCATCCATCCTTAGGGATGGGGAGAGCCATAACTGAGTGTGTCAGCATTTTCTGATAGAGACCAAGTTAAGATGTATTCTCTCCACAATATCTTGAAGTACTGTACAGATAAATGGCCTGTCTGTCAGGGTTTTGTTTGCTTGTTTTAAACAAACAGCATCCCTCTCCTCCCCTATGCTTCCCCAATGACCAAACAGTGTTGACAAATAGTTCCTTGTTCTTTGTTGTTGCTGTCTGTTTCTGATGCCTTTCATGTGCTTCAACAGTTAAAAAGATGGCTTTGGTTGTCTGCCAGGTACCTTTTTTTTTTTTTTTTTTTAAATCAGGCAGTAATATCTAATTCTGTATTAAAAAAAAAAAAAAAATCAAACAAGGAAATTAGATTACACAGACAAAAAGTATCTTGATATGGAAAAGGAATGTCTGTCGCCAGGAAATTGATGGCTGTGACACCCTGTCTGCCATCACCCACCGTGCTTAGGTGTTGTGGCGCAGATTAGCACTATTGTTCATTTAGTGTTTGATAACAGTAACTCCTAGAGGCATCAGCCCAGTTGGGAACCCACATTTCTGTGTGCTATACAGATGTCTAATAACAGCTAGGCTCTGTCCTGAGGAGCTCTGCGCACTAAGAAACACACAAGATCCCAAGCTGCTCTTGGTGTACAACTAAAGCGCTCTGTGCAGCTGAGTTTGTGGTCTGACGTTTGTTGAGGTCGGTGACACGGGGTTTGCAGAAGTAGGTGAGCTTGTTGTCCCTAAGTACATCCAGGATGGAGTCTGGGAATCACCATGAGCCTGCAGCAGGGTGAAGGGGCTGCTGCGGAAGAGGCGAGGCATAGGTGGGAGCTGGCTTCCCTCCTTCCCCTCTGTTTTCTTTGCCTTAATGCTTGAAACTGGAAGCTCTGGGTGGTGATCAACGCATGTATGCACAAAGCTGAGCATGATGACCTCCCAAACTCAGGATTTTGCAGAAATAACAAGGCATCAAGCAGCAGTGATATGTCAGGCTAGGCTGAAAGTACCATCACCTCCACCCCCATCTTCCAGTGATGCAGTGAAGAGATCCAGGTAATGTTGCCCTGTGATACAGCATCATAGTGTAATTAGTTCATCCATAAGAAGTATTTATAAACAGGTGACCATTGCGGCCCTGGACTCCTTTGAATCTCAATTTTCTGGCAATTCTGTCTCTAAATCCGCTTGCTGGAGCCTTTGATCACACAGCTGAGCTGTCACTGATGTCCCTGACAGTTGACATCATGGCAGAGAGGGGAGCTTAGGGCTCTTAACATTTCCTTTATGATAGCTTGTTTTCTAACTAAACACTCCAACGAGGATTTTCCATCATAATAAAGCAGTGCTCTTTTCCAGAGCACCCAGATTTAGGAAGAAGCCTCTGTTTCCATTCAGCGTTTCCTTTCACTAGCAGATTATTTCAGAGCTGCAAAGCTGGACTTGCTCTATTTGCTTCTTTCTCATACTCTGCTGTCTTTTTACCTAAGCCTCCTAACTCAGGACAGCAGCAGAGACAGCCAGGTCAAGAGCAATCAGAAATACTAAATATCCTGTGCTGCTGGGCATGTTTTGCAACCAGGGACGTGTCAAAGAGCTTTAGAAACTATAGCATACAAGACCGCATTGCCGCTGCTTTCATCATCACCTCCTCCTAGCCTGGTACTTGGAGGCTGTCTCAAAGTAAACAGCAGCAGTATCCAGCAGCAAAGCAGAAGAGGGTTTTAATCGGAAGAGATGGTAGCGGTGCAGGATGCGTGTATGAGTGGGAACTTCTTAGATCTCACAGGTGTGGTTGTGTTGAAGGTGACATGTGCAGGAGTGAACGTGGGCATCTGGTGCTGATGATGCCGAGTGCCAGCGTGTTTGTATGCTGATGCCACTGGTGGAAGCCAGTTTACTTCCCAGGGCCACATCAGGGGCAACACCAAGGCTAGCATGTGTCCACATCTTGTTCTGCTGTCTGGATGTGCCCTGGCTCCCCTTTGCGGGAGAAGTGATAGCAGGGAATCTGTTGCCAGGTTCTAGGCAGGCTGTGAAACCTACCCCTGGGCTCTGGGTGCCTTCTGCCACAGCTCCCCATGCGCACAGGGGTTGCCCAAGTGGTGATGTTCTATGTGGAGAAGCTATTGTCCTTCCCTCTCTGCAGTTTGCTATCAGGCCCCATTTGTTTGAGGGGCCCTAAGGCCTAGGTGTCTTGGTTTTCCACCTTGATGTGTCTGTTCCTAGATGAGAAGTAATATTTTATTCTGAGGTAAAAGTTTACCTCCATCATCTTTCATGATTTTGATTGAGTTTATGTGGTGACCCTTGGATGTGCATGTTGTCTGAAAAAGATATATGTGGAAGACCTTTATGTAGCAGGACAAGCCTGATAAGTGGTCCAGCAGATGCTGAAGGGGGAGACCTGTCCCTGCCTGTACAGCTGATGCCCCTGCTGTTAGTCATTTTTATCTTGATTTCTACAGCCTTCCCATCTGCTTGTTCCTGCTCCTGTTCCATCCCCTACAGGCAACGGGCACAGCAGTGTGTGAGCAGTTGTTGCGTTCAGCTTCCTTTAGTGCCCGATCAGTTCCTGGTCATTATTCATGGCTTAGCTGTGCAGACTGTTAGGCCAACAAAAAGGCAAGAAGTAGTGCAGATAGGAGCAGGTGACTGGACATGGAAAATGTTCAGCTTGGCTTAAGAAGCCCTGCTTCCACCTGTAAAGCTGCTGTCTGTATTGCCTGAAGCAGTAAAGGCTTGGAGTGGGTTCAGCCTTGAAGTCTACTGTTGATGAGATGGATAGTCCTGAATGCAAATCAGTTGCACAGAACCTAAGAGTGATGGGATCTGCAAAGTACTTGATAA